CCCTCTCCCCACCATACAGCTAGACATTTTCATGGTGATTGTGGTATGAATGTAGCTAGTCTTATCAAAATAAAACATGAGCACACTGTGGAGAGTGGGCCCTGGAGTCAGATGGACCCAGATTTCACCCTCCTCTCTGTCATTCACTAGCTCTGTGACTTTGGACAACTTTTGTTTAAAATACATTATATTTTTAACTACAAAAGTTACATGTATCTGAAGAAAAGCCAAATGTAGAGAACTATAATATAGAAGGGGGTAAAAAAAAGGTCCCATTTCAGCTGTGCTCCCAAGTTGATCTTGTTAACAGTTTTGTGTTTATATTTTTCTAGATCTTTTTCTAATATATATGAACACACATACCCAACACAGAACACATATACATATGGAGTTGTGGGGTATTTTCTTTCTGAAAATTACTTTTTCTGAACTTTAATTTCTTCATCTTAATACTTTGCAAGATTCTTGTGAGGTTTAAAGGAAAATTTATGTAAAAAGACATGAAGTAGGTCCTTAATAAGTGTTTATTATTATTATTGGCTATAATTATTTTTATCTTTGAAATGAATCTAGAAGAATATTGGGAAATGAATGGGAAAATAAAAGGCAAAGAAGAGAGCTGGGGTCATATATGTAGTTTAGCTTTCCAGAATGTCTGCATTACCTTCTTAGAGACAAAGTATCTGGCTATAGAAAAAAGCACTTTTAAGAACCACTGAAAGAAGTTATTGATTCCCTCTCTCCCTGTTTTTGAGATTCCAAACCTCAAAAAAGAAGCACAAGTACTCCTGGATCTGCTTCCTGATAGAATTGGGCATGGGACATTTCTCAACTCCTCTGAGGGAGGATCCTTGGATCTGGTTGACTTTGTGAGGAAACACCAGATACCACTGGGTAAGGCTTAGGGCTTCAGGTCCTTCAGACAACCCTCTGTCCCTTCTACCCTCTGCCCCCAGATTGTAACCTATCTGTAGAGAAGTTTTGTTCTAAGTATATAAATATAATTTAGAAGTAAAAGATGTGTATATGTGCTTTCTGAGCCTCGTTTAAGTAACACGACGTTTTAGCTCCCGTTAGAATATAAGCTCCATGAGAGCAGGGCCCTTGTCTGTCTTGTTCACTGTTACATTCCCCAATTCCTGGAACTCAGTGTTATGTTGAAGGAATAAGGGGCATCTAGTATTTTGAAATGACTTTAACCAAATTAACATGTGTTATGAAAATGTGTGACATTTATTTAAAAATTAAGATTTTTGGAAAATTTGAAGTATATTATTATATGTCTTTTGACCATTACACACTTGCTAGTCTACATGTGTAGACCTGCAGCTGTTTTTGTTTAACAGCATATATTTATGAAGTGCCTACTCTGTTCTAGTCACTTCTCAAATTGCTGGGAATAGAGCAGTAAACAAAACAGACAAACAAGCTTGCTTTCTCAAGGAACTTATATTCTAGCATAGGTAAGAGAGACAGTAAACAAATACACAAGCAAATATCAGTGTTAAGTTCTTTGAAGAAAATTAAACAGGCTGATATGACAGTGATGAAATAATCACCTTCAGTTGGATGATCAAGGAAGGCCTTTCTGAAGAGAGAAGCAATGGACTGAAATCCATTTTACTGAATGATAAATTTGCTGAATCTACAAATTTACCAATTTGTAAAAACACTGGTGTGGGTATGCATTTTTAAAAACGATTTCTAGACTTTTCAGCAATTCATAATGGGTGAGGCTTTTTTCTTTTCACTGAGGAAAATTTTAAAGATCAACAAAAGTAGAGAAAATGGAAACCCCATAGTAAGAGATCTTCCTGTTGTGGTGGCTCAGCCCTACTCCCAGCAGTGAGGGGGCAGGTTGCGTTTGCCATTCCTTGGAGTGGCCCTGTGTTGAGGCTGCCTTACCCAAGGGAGCAGACACCATTCATCAAGTCAGTGAAGTATTTTACTCTGCCTAGGAAGCCTGGTACAGTGTTTCAAGGCAGGAATTTGTTAATAGAAGTCATTCTTAAGATGGACTTACTTGCAGCTGGCAGTGATTGGATGGTTGTCTGAGTAAAGGAGGTTAGGGGTTTTCTTTGAAGCCATGGAAGAGGTCCATTTCTGCTCTTGGCTTTTTATAATGCTGTAACCCTCAAGCAGTGCTGCCATTATCTTACCTTTATTTTAGTCTCCACTTTAAGACCAGGGAGAAGTGTAGCAACCCTTCAGATAATTCCCTGGCTTCTTTGTGGTGACTGGCGTATACACTCTTTCCTCTCCATTTTGGTAAGACAAAGGAGGAAGCACATGGCTGTGAAGGGGATAGTAATTCCCGGCCTGGCACAGTTGCTGCCACAAGTTGTACATATTTCCCACACAGCCACACTAATTGAACTACAAATTTTCACACATAAGAAAAGGTCAATTTAAAAAAAATTTTTTAATTGAGTTTTTAGAGAGAGGAAGGAAGAGGGAAAGAGAAAAAGAAACATTGATATGAGAGCAAAACCTTGATCAGCTGTCTCCTGCATGCCCNGAGAGAGGAAGGAAGAGGGAAAGAGAAAAAGAAACATTGATATGAGAGCAAAACCTTGATCAGCTTACCGGGGATCTAGCCTGCAACCTGGGCATGTACCCTGACTGGGAATTAAACAGGCAACCTTTTGGTCCAAGGGACAATGCCCAACCAACTGAGCCACACTGGCCAGAGCAAGAAAAGGTCAATTTTGTAAAATAATGAACTACTGAAAATTAGCATAGTTTAGAAAGATTTCTTGTGTATCTACTTGATGAATGAGTCTACTAATCTGCTTTTTAATAAAAGGCTTTTTTCCTCTTTTCATGTAGAACTCTGTTTGACCTCAAACATCAAAAGTCGGACTGTTCCATCTTATGACAAGCATCATTTTGGATTCTGGTTCAGCATTGGCCATCCTTCTGTTATCTGTGTAAGGTGTTTTGTGTGAAGTGTTTTGCTCCTTTTAGTCCCTGAGTTGCATTAGGTCAGACATTCACTACCTACCTGACTGCCTTGCATGCCTGAGGGTAATAAGGTTCAGAGAGAGGAATGAGAGGACTCTGGGGCATAAGAGGCTACAAAGGGCCAGAGTGACTCTGGTTTGACTCTAAGGGAAAAGGTCCTGGACAGTACCTAGGGGAACATTAAAAAAAAGTGATGCCCAGCACCCATCCCTTGAGATTCTGTTTTATATGATCTGGGAAGAGTCCTGAGCCACAGATATGTTTTTAAAGTTCCCTAGGTGATTTTAATACACAGCTATGGTTAGAGCACTGCTCTAGTGTTTGTTTTTTTAATCCTCACCTAAGGATATATTTTTATTGATTTTAGAGAGAGAGGAAGGGAGAGAAAAAGAGGGAAACATGGATGTGAGAAAGATACATCAATCGGTTGCCTCCTGTACGTGCCCTGACCAGGGATCGAACCTGCAACCTAGGTATGTGCCTTGACCAGGAATCAAAGCCGCAGTCTTTTGGTGTACTGGACAGTGCTCTAACCAACTGAGCAACCTGGCCAGGGCTGTTTGGTTTTTTGTTTTTTTAAAAGGTAAACAAGCCTGCTTAGTTATAGATAGGCATGGATGCATTTATGGGCCCCTGTTTAGACTCTTAAAAGAAACATGGTGAATAGGAAAATAGACTCTAAACAAAAGTTGGTTTTTAAAAAAATCATTTCCTTGTTCATTTTGAAACTTTCTTGCTTATATTGGCAGACTGACGATAAGGGTGTTTTTGCAACACACCTTTCCCAAGAGTACCAGCTGGCAGCTGAAAATTTTAATTTGACCCCATCTCAGGTATGGGATCTGTCTTATGAATCCATTGACTACATCTTTGCTTCTGACAGCACCAGGTCTGAACTAAAGAGGAAGTGGAATCATCTGAAACCCAAAGCGTTAAATTTTTAAGCTGTATGAGGGTGAATTACTTTTGAGTGTGTTGCAACCAAGATCTTCCTACCATATTCCTCTTAGTAAACCATCCACCTCTCCCTTTGAAGAAAAGCAGCTAAGTAGCATGGGCTTTATCACCAGTACCCTACTCATGGTGGGTGCTCATTAAATATGTCTTAAATTGACTAACAGACTCCGAGGTCTTATTTAGCTTACCTGCGTGCTGCTTACTGGAAGGGACATGAATGTTGTTGGTAACTGAAATCCCATTTCACCAATGATTTTTACTTAACAGCCCCTATTAATGATCACAATTTTCTATTAATGATCACAAGACTTCAGGAAATTTGATGTTGCTGCTAGAGGCTGCCCACCCTCTCCATCCCCAAGGGTGTATTATGTATCTTTACCTCGATAAGCCTTACCACTAAGTTTAAACTTAAAAAACAAAACAAAACTTAAGGAAATTCAAAGTAGTTTGTCATCAGGAAAAGTTGGGGAAGCGCTAGTCTAAATAAGGTGAGAAGGGAAAACATTACCACCAAGACCTTTAAGCCTTCTAGCTTCTGACAACAGCTCTGTATTTTATTAAGCTTATTGTAGTAAGACTCTCTTCATTTAAGTATTCCCCAAAACTGTTGACTCCAGACTGCACTGCATACCATGGGCTTTTGTGAATATCCAGTAGTCAGGGTTAATCGACTGTAGGTGACTCTAGTGACAGATAAAGCTAGCTGCTGAGATCTTTGTCCTCATGATTAGTTCCTCTGGAATCAAGTTACCGTTTTTTTTTGTGTTCCTACCTTACCTTTCTCTTCTCTTATTTTGACCATAATGGAGCTATGCCAGCCAGATGCTTCTTGAGCTGTAGGGGACTTCAGGCTTCATTTCCAGCCTTTATTATTTTTTCACCCCTCCCCCCACCTCACTCCACCCCCCACTCCCTATTTCCAGCCTTTAATCTGACTTCCAGTTGTTCCAAAGTTTTGTTTCTGAAATAGCCTATGATGGATTTTAGCCTAGGAGGAATTTAAACTGACTAAAATATTTCCATATAACATGTTATTTTAAGCACCATGTCAGAGAATACATAATAACTTTTTATATGTCAAAACGTTGAGACATGCGTCTCACTGGATAGCTATTTGAGTATATAGGAGTAAAGTTTTCATTTTAGATTTTGAATTGAATGGAAAGAATTGATCCATCCTTACGTTCATATCTTATCTTCCCTTCCCTACACGGTCAGCATAAAAATAGTTCTCTATGGACTTGACAAGACTCAGCCTCTACACTCAGGTTATAGTAAAAGAGAAATGGCAGCAACACAGAATGTGTATGTTATTAATTTCTGTGGCATTGGCCATAATAGCACTAGGGAAACAGCTTATGGGAATAAATATGACTGTCCAGCTCCTGCTAATACGATTGCTTCCTTTGCTGCACATGCCGNAGGGAAACAGCTTATGGGAATAAATATGACTGTCCAGCTCCTGCTAATACATGATTGCTTCCTTTGCTGCACATGCCAGCCAATCTGTCCCAAACGTCTTGTGGGTATTAAAAGGATAGGGGTATATAGAGTCTCTTGGTTTCTCTCTCTTAGAATGCTTGAAAACTATTTTCTTTCTTCTTTCATCCTTAGGAATGGCAGATTGAGTAGTGGATAACGGTTTGTGAGCTAGTTTCAGGTGAACTGGCTTTTCCCCAATAAGAGCATTTGCCTTTGCCCTATTCCTTTTGCACATTCTCTTCATCTGGAGGTTGGAGGGCTGGTCCTGGTCCTGGGTCTTTTAAAGTAAGACTCACTCTACCTACTGAGTTACGATGGATCCTAATGGATGTGGATACAGATAACAAGGGAGGATTTTCATTCCAGTATCTCTTACCATATTCTAATCTCTTTCTCAGCCTAGAACATAAAGATCCAGACATGTTCTTCTAGTAACCCACACAGGAAGCAAAATAAAACCAAACAAAAAACAGGCAAAGATTTATCTTTTCCTACCAACAACTTAATCATAATTTGCACATACATGTTTTTAAAAATACCTTAAGAAACACTGAGCACTTTGTAGATCTTTTTATTAACATGGTATCCCTGAGAGGCAGGTTAAGGTATAAACATTATTCTGCTTTACAGAAAAGGAATTGGAAGCAGGTGGACTTACATATAAGACAACTGGAACCAGAATTTATACCTGTTGATACCCCAACCAGTGCTTTCCCACGAGACTAGACATAGATATACTGAAGGTAGTGATGTCTTTTTTGTAAAAAAACTTAGCATACTTCCTAAACCATCTCAGATCCTGAAGCATTGCTTTAGACTGGTGTTTATCTTTCTATCTGCTTAGGTAATATAATTGAGATACCATCTCCCTTTAATTCCTAATAAATGTTAGATTCTTTGTACTAGGACCCCTCAACATCAGAACCCTAATTAGTCTCTCATCTAACACAGCAAGCTGAGTTACCAAATATTCTATCTCCTTACGCCTCTCCCAGATCTCATTCCAGCTATAAACTCTTAATTAAATGTGACTCTGAAACAGCTATTTATCCTAGGCCTTGGCCGTCTGCTCACATTCCTTTCCTGACCTGCCCAAAAAGTATCTTCTCAAAATACTACAAAAATTGTCTCCCATAGGAGCTAGTCTGCTGTAATAGCTCATTCTTCTTCTCCAGTATCAGCCAGATGTTTCCTTATCAGTAACTACAGCACAGCACCTGATTTACTACAGATGATGGGAGCATCATCTCCTGATGTGCCTCTGGCACTCCATGTTTCAGCTAAGATGATTCTTTTTCTGCCTCCGGCACAGCCCATATATACTGTTCCTCAAATTTTATGCTGCTCCAACCTTTGTCTAACCTTCATTACGGTCTCTCCTTTGCCCTCTGCTCCATCTGCACAGAACACCTTGCTCCCCAATGTTCCCATTTCTTATCCACTCAGCACTCAGTTTTGGAAAGAACTTCATCCCATCCTAATTTACCCAGTAATCTTCCCTCTTTGAACACTTTCTGCTCCATGAAGAATTCCTGAATAAAAAGAAAATACCTCCCAGATTTTTGACAACAAACTATAATACATTAATTAGACCTTTAACATTTATGCAGTGATACTACCTAGCTTTAAAAGTGTTGCAACTATACACTGTACTTATTTGTCCATGTCATTGTCATTTTAGATTGTAAGGACAAGGGCTATTTAATTTGTGCTTTATAGGGCTCATCATACTACTATGAAAATATGGGCAATTAATGCAATACTATTTGATTATAAAGATCAGAATTACACTTGTGTTTGAAGAGCTTTTAAAAAGATGTATACAGTTGAACATATGCACGTGTGTGTGTGTGTATTGACAACTCAACTGACCAAAGATAATCTGTCCTTCTTGCCATTAGGGTAAAGAGTTGTTGGCTTGGTCTGTTTTCCCAGTCCATGGGAATGTGGCAATGGCTTCTGGTTCTTGTAGGTTAGTATCAAGCACCCACGGGAAACCTAACACTAGACTGGGTTTTTGGAGTGTATAGAATATGGTCAGTTCCCTCTTGGCAGCTTTAACTGCTTTCCCAATCACTACATCCAGCTGCCTTGCTCTTTAGGCTCCTGGACAAGGGACAGATGAAATTCAGATGAGATGGACAGANTGCTTTCCCAATCACTACATCCAGCTGCCTTGCTCTTTAGGCTCCTGGACCACAAGGGACAGATGAAATTCAGATGAGATGGACAGAAAAAATCAAACTAGATGCTGTAAATGTAGCATTCTTCAATTCCAGATCTTCTAGAGCTTGGAAGAAACTAAGAAATCCACGGTGTACCCTGGATTTACAAGGTTTACATTGTTTCCCCATATAGAACACTTAGGTTCTTGACAAGATTCATAGGTGAGAACTAAGATGGACATTAAACTTTCCATCATTAAGGTAAATGAAGGGTGTGCATGACAAATATAGAGGTTCCTCTACCTATGATGGGGTTTATGTCCAGATAAGCCCATCATAAGTGAAATATATTTTAAGTCGAAAATGCCCTTAACCTACCAAACTTCACAGCTTAGCCTAGACGGTTTCTACTGAATGCGTATCACATTTGCACCATCACAAAGTCAACCTGTTGTAAATTGGGGACCATCTGTATTTCATTCTGGGCACAGGCTTAAGTGAGCAGGAAGAATCATTCTTTTTTGTACTTCCATTACTGTGTAAAGAGCTAGACCTACCCAATGAGTAAAGTCTCACAACTTCTCCCTGAAATGCTGTTGTGTTGGTTTTTTCCACTCAAAATGCAGCTGAGTAACAGGATGAGTAAAGAAGGGTACATGTCAAATTCATAGGATCTACTACTGTGTCCTCTCCATTAAGGGAACAGGAGAGAGATTGAAATCTTCCTTTCATTCTTAAAATGAGTGCCTTGGGAATTTGATCCAGGAGAAACAGGAACAAACAGAGGGGTAAATCCTAGAGTATTTCCTGGGCACAGAATAGGAGATGGGTCTCACTACTAACTTTTTCAACAATTTCAATACATTTATTGAGGCTCTTTTTTTTTAAGTAGATCCTCAGGGACTTACTTAGGCACTGATTGTGTCAGAAGTTTTTCTCGTGTATGGATTTCTCTGTGCTTATTCAGAGCAGAGCTTTTACTGAAGCACTTGCCACAATCATGACACCCATAGGGTTTCTCTCCTGTATGGGTTCTGTGATGTGCACGTAAGTCAGAACTCTTACTGAAACTCTTTCCACAGTCAGGACACACATGAGGTCTCTCTCCTGTGTGTATCCTCCGATGTGCACTAAAATGAGAACTGTTATTGAAGCTTTTTCCACACTCTTCACATTGATAGGGTTTTTCTCCTGTGTGGGTTCTCTGGTGGATTATAAGGCTTGAGCTCTGATTGAAACGTTTCCCACATTCACTGCACTGATACGGTTTCTCTCCTGTGTGGATTCTCCTATGGGTGATGAAATTTGAACTGTCACGGAAACTTTTCCCACAGTCCAGACATTTATAAGGTTTCTCTCCAGTGTGGATTCTCCGGTGTCTAATGAGGCGTGCACTCCGACTGAAGCTTTTTCCACAGTCAGCACATTTGTATGGATTTTCCACTTGATGGGATATCTGATGCATGAGGTGGGAGTTTGGACCAAAGCTTTTGCCATATCTAAGATATTTATAGTGTCTCTCTCCCAAGTAAGGTCTCTGATGACTTGGAACTTTACCTAAACTCCTCTCTGGGAGTGTGGGTTTTCCTCTTCTTTCTCCTGGGGGCCTTTCCCACTGTCTTCCTGATGATCTACATTCATTCTCATTGCCTTTACCCTGATTAAGACGCTGGCAAATTTTCCTTTCAGACCTTGCAAGCAATGTCCTATGTAGTTGTATTTCCTCAGAAATATCCCGTTTTAGATTCTTCTCATTCTCAAATCCAGCCTCAAAACCTGACATGAAAATAGAATTTTGAGTTATCCATTTCCATAATTATTTGCCAAGGTAAAGTAAGTATCACATTAAGATGATTAATGATAACAATTAGGGAGATCTAGATCCCAAATAATTACCATCTATTAAACTCTAGTGCTTTACTTTTCTACTTAATAACCTATCATGTTTCTTATCTACATAGGGCTCATTAGTATATTCTTTTAATTCTTCCTGAATACCCAGGATCTTCAGAAAATCTCAGTATAACAAGAAAAACCTACCAGATTTAAAACTATCACCATGTTTACACAGGAAAGACACTTTCTAATGCTGTATTTTTGTCTCATCTAAGGTCTATTATGGTATTCTAGTTTATGTTCCTTGCCAGTAACTAAAGGGATTAGAGGGAATGTCCAGGAAAACTGGGAAACTTGTATATCCAAAACGAGTTATGTGAGTCCCTTCCACTCAAATTCCAATATATGTTGAGAATAAAAATAGGGTAGAAAACTACTTGGTGTCTTTCAAAGAATAAAAGGCCTTCTGAGAGAAGTACTTTGCTAGGAAGTGACTCACTAAAAACATTCTTTGGAAAGATAATCACTAAAAGCTCCAAAAGCACTTGCTCTAATGCCCAAGCTAACCTTTTAATATTCTTCTAAGAACCAAATGCCAGGCTCCCCAGGCCTAGGCTTTGTGAACTTGTAGATACTTGCAAATTTTTTATTTGAATTTACAGAATTTTCAGACATTTCAGCTAAACCTGGAACCCAAATTTTCTGGACTAAATCTGAGAGCAAAAGAATGCTGAGTGTCAGCCTGTATTCCACCTGTCAGCAGTATTTCTGCCTAGAAGCCCAGTCTTAAGATATGCCCCATGAAATAGGATTAAATGGAATCTCAGAACCTTCAAAACGTAAGTACGTTTTGTGATCCTGCATGAGGGGAATTTAGCATTTCCTAAACCTAGAAGTCATTCTTTAGTGGAATATATTAATACCCCCATGGAACTGATGCTCCATGGAACACCCTTAAAGAATGTTGATATAAAGAACATTTGGAAAAGAAAACTGCTATTTATTGAATATTTACTATGTGTCCAAGCATTGTGCTAGGTGCTTCACCATGGTACCTCATTTATATCAACATTTTGAGGTAGGTCTTCATAGACAAGTTACATGGTTAAATAACTTGCTATAAGTTCCTCAACTTATAAACAACAGAGTTCAGATTCACATACATATACAGGGATGGGCAAAAGTAGGTTTATAGCTGTGAGTATGTGAAAGTTTATTCTTGTATTATTATTAATTATTGTATTATTTATCTTATTATTTTGAATCCTTACTTATGATGTATCTTTTAGGTAATGATGGCTGGTAATTTAACCTACTTTTGCTCATCCCTGTACATGTATGATTCCAAAATCAGAATTATTCTTCCCACAAGGAGGGAAGCCGTAGTGAAATAGTTTCTTCACTATACAGCAGCTAAGATTCAAAGGGTCACTTCCCTCAGAAATCTCAGACTTTTGCATGAGCGCATCTGAAGAAAGTAGCTACCAGGTTTTCAGATATGAATATAAAGCAGACAGCTGGTATATAAGCTAAAATTAAGAGAACAAACAAATGAGGAGGAGCTTTTAAAATCAACTTCATCCTATTATGTGTCATGACAAGCTACTTGGGAAATGTTAGCTTTCAGCTTCCCTGCTAGGTAAACCCTAGAAACCTAGCAGCTGATAGCATATTTACAAAGTTTGCAACCATCTTGGATTGATGCTGTGTGAGGAGGCAAGTCAAGTGAATAATTTATATCCCCTCACTGAAATGCTTTAATAGACAGGGGCAAGGTGAAGAGATAGGTGGTCATAAGAAGAATCCATGAGAGCTGGGTGTAGAGGCTTCAATCTGATGATTTTTTTCCCCTAAATCCCACTGCCTCCCCTTTGCTATTTAGACCTTAAGAAGTAAAAGAATCTTACCACTGGGGCTCTGGAATAAGACTGGAGCACGTGTCATGACAGCCCCTGGGGGTAGCTCAGTATCCTCTTCATCATCTTCAGAATCATCTTCTGTGGCCTCTTCTGCCTCAGCTTGCTTCTCAGCTTCGGCCTCACTGGTCTCCTGGATGGGGTCAGAGGCTGTGTCTTCTTCCTGGCCATCACTGGGTGGGGCAGCAACCCGGGCACTCACCAAAGCATCCATCTCTTCAAAGAAAGGGCAGGTCTCTGGTGCTTGGCCATTCTTGACTTTCCGATAGCTGGTGTGTAGGCTTTTAAACTTGGTCCGACATTGCTCTGGTGTCCTAAAGAAGCCATATTCCCATAACCGCTCAGCCACTGCTCCATATAACTGGCTGTTGCGGTGACAGTTCCGCAGGGCTTCATAAAACTGAGTCTCACTAAGAATTGCAAGATAAGTCTTCGTCTCTTCATAGCCCCAGTGTACACCTGCCACCAGAAGAGAAATTTCAGCACAAGGGCTTTAGAGCCTCAATTTCTTAATTCTATTGTCTGCATCTTTCATTCTTTGAAAGTTTCCCAAAGAATTACTCAAAACCCCAAGAAACAGTCTCTTTTAAAATCACACCGCCACCTAATCCCTATTATGGCCCTTCTGCACTTGCTACAATCTCAAAAAAAGAAAAAGGAAGAAAGAAAAAAAGAAGCCTAACAACAGCAAAGACTTGAAAGGATACAAGATACGGACTTGATAGTCATGCACTCTATCATTAAGAGAGGACTGGCAGAAGCCAGAAAGAGGAGGGAAGGAGAACAGACAGGTTCTCCTGGCCTGAACACGTGCTAGTGCTGCATGCCCAACATGGCCGACACTTCATCAGGATGATTACAGACCCTGCTCCCTGAAGGTAACCAAGATAGAGGGAAGGGAGAATCAAAGAGTCTTCCTCCCACCTGAGAGCCAGCTGGAGATTACACTGCTTCCATTATCCTCCACTCACTGCAAGTATAAAGAAGGGGAGGGGAGAAATGGGGGATATCTGTAATACCCTTCAACAATAAAAATTTTTAAAAAGGTGGGGAGGGAACCAGAAGACAGAAAAAGCGGTGGAAAAGAATGAAAATCACATGTGCCGCGTTTGTGATTTGCCTTCATTTGTTCCAAGTGACAAAAGAGGAAAAAGAATGAAGGGGGAAAAGAAAGCTCTGACAGGTGTGGCTCAGTGGTTAGAGCGTCAGTACTTGGGCTGAAGGATCATGGTCTTGATTCCCGGTCAAGGGCACGTACCTGGGTTGCAGGTTTGATCCCCACCCCAGTCAGGGTGAGTGTAGGAGGCAACCAGTCTATGTGTGTGTGTCTCACATCGATGTTTCTCTCTCTCCCCCTCCCTTCCTCCCACTCTCTCTAAAAATTAATGAAAAAATATCCTCGGGTGAGGAGTAACAAAACAAAACAAAAAAAAAGGGAAAAGTAGAATATTGGAAGAAGATCAGAACAGAACTAAAGTAACATGTATAATAAAAAAATGTAAGCAAAAGATCACTGTTCACAGTGGAACTAAACTTCAGAGATGTAGTCCTGCTGCCATTCCCCATTTTACAGTTCAGGAAACAAACTTTGAAATGGTCAGATAACTGTCCAAGGGCACTCAGCTGATTAGTGGTCAGGGTTAGAAACAAAGCCTCCTGACTGGTACTTTGGTGCCCTTTCCATAACATGGTTATAAAAACTACATCAACAGTAATAAAGGATACTTACAAAACTGTTCCACAGACAAATGATATTTCAACACAGAGTGTTAAACCAGATTTCTTGCTGCAGGACTTCTCTTAAAATGCCAATGTGTGTTGCGAATGATAGAGGAGACTCAGGAATTTTTCCCCAACTTTGGGCAATCCTTCACTATGCTATTCTAAGTAAAAAGGAACATATAATGAACTGACTTTGAGATTTGGGGAGTAAAAGACAAAATAAAGCTCCAGTTCATATAAGATGCGATAAAATAATGCCAAGTTTTTTTCAGCCTTCAATGATTTTATAATTAGGAGGAAAAAAAACAATTAAAAAAAAACTAGAAGCAACGATAATCCTTTTCAGGACTCTCTTGAATTTGCTGAGTGTATTTTTAAAATACCTAAATTTTTTTCCTATTCCCTATTATCTCACTGATTTTCCCATAGAATACACATGGAACTGAGAAATGCCTCTTTGTTCCCTTAAGTGACAAAGCTGGCAGGTAACATTAAGCTTCATGATTCCACATCCAGCCTCATAAGTCTAATGCCAAAACCCCAAGAAAAGCTTACCACTTGGGCTTCGGAAAAGGACAGATGCAGTGGAGTTGTTGGGGTCCTGGGGGGTAGCCTTCTGGTCCATTTCATCACTGTCAGACTCTTCAGCTGTGGCCTCTTCTGCTCCCTCCTCATGCTGCCAACTCCCTGGCCCTGGCTCCTCAGTCTCAGCATCGCTGCTTGCCAAGCCAGAGTGAGAGGCTGCCTCTTCCAGGCTATTACTGGGCAGGGCAATGACCTGAGCACTCATCAGGGCTTCCATCTCTTCAAAGAAGGGGCAGGTCTCAGGTGGGTGGCCACTCTTGACTTTCCGATAGCTCTTCTGGAGACCTTTGAACTTGGTCCGACACTGTTCCAGGGTCCGAAGGAAGCCATACTCCCGGAGCCGCTCAGCCACAGCCCCATATACTTGGCTGTTTCGATGACAGTTTCGGAGAGCCTCATAAAATTCAGTCTGACTGAGAATTGCAAGGAGAGTTCTGGTCTCGTCATAGCCCCAGTGCACGCCTGCCACCTTCTCATCCTCAAAGCCCCAGTGATCTTGTTCCACCCAGCTTCTTTTCTCTCTCCTGGATACTAACAGATCAGCATGCATTTGTCTGTCCCCTGTGAGACTGCCTCTTGGGAGTTCCTTTTCCTTGGAGCCCAGATCTGAGATCCAAGGCTCTCCTTGCTCCAACCTGGACACCACACCGGATTTAGGAAATGGTAATCCTGCTTGCAAGGAAGCAAACAAAAGATGTCATAATATGGACTGATCATTAAAAAAAAAATCTCTGAGTTCAGACCTGCCTTTTTTATCCAAGAGGCTTATACAGGAAGTATCTACAGAAATATTTTCAGAAAGTGCAGTGTGTTGAAGAAAATGGGGAAAATACATGAAACCTCAAGAAATGAGAAATATTTTATTTTCCAGAGCAGGGTAACAAGAGAAAAAGGTTCTGTTGTATGTTCAGAGCAGATAATTCTGTTCCAAACTGCTCCCAAGCCCTCCTGACCACTTGTAGGCAGATCATGGCACTGCTGGGAAGTTACCTCCTGTCTCCTATAGTTCTCCATTTAGGATGAGAAAATTAAACTCAGATTTCAAGAGGGAGGGGAGCAGAGGGGATATCGTCTTCAATTCATCTGTTTCCTTCACACCAAGTTCTCAAGGTTTTCTCCTTAGTATGTCCTCTATTCCTGCCACCATCCAAGTCCAGACTCCTTACCTTCTCACACCCAGATAACTGCAGCAGTCACTGCCCTACCTAGCTCCAGGATCTTGCTTCCTCAGCTCACATGCTACTGCTGGACCTTAACCTGAGTGCCTAGTATGCATTGTCCATTCATATAAGACTTTCCCTCCTATCCAAATTTAACTGATTCTTTAAGCTGTATTTGCCAAAGCCCCCATGAAGCCTTCCCTACAGCCCTCCCTCATCTTCCACTCTGCCAAACCCTATTGTACTTACACAATTGAGTAGCACAATTGAGTAACAAGTTATTGTTTAGCATTGTTTCAGTACAGTTCAGTCAGCACATATTTATGTTTGCTGTTATGTTCTCAGTCATATTATAGGCATTCCTTATCGCAGAATACCTTGCAAGGTGCTGAACACATGACAGGTGTTCAAAAACATTAATTCTATAAGCCTGTGTGTGGGGTTGAAGGATTGTATCTGGATGACTAGAGACCATCACCAAACTAGCTGAGAAGACTAGCATCTTGAACGATAAGGTCAGAATTCAGAACAACTTCAACAAGTTAAAGAAATGATCAAAGAAAAAAAAAATACAATATGGAGTTCAACAGAATACAAAGAAGAAAAACAAGCTCTACAAAATTATGTACAAGAATAAGTACCAGACGCAAAGACAATGGGGAAGACTATGAGTCAGGTAATTAATTGAGCTATACTGAAAGAAAATGAAATTCTGAAGTAAAATTCTTACTCTGCCTCAACCTATCAGACCCTCACTAGAATAATATATATAACTTGGTTCTCCACAACTGACATATCTGTAGAACTTAAAGTTTCTAAGGGAGAGTAACAAAAACTTAGCACATCGGACTAATGGAACTACTGGGGGAAAGCTTAAAGAAACAAGTAGTTTATTTCAGAGAAGGAAAATGACTAAAAGGAAGATGAATCTTCAAGTATAGAAAATACTTTTTATCTAGAAAATACTGACCTAGTATCATTACCAAGAGGAAATAGTTCAAAGTTCTGATAAAAACTCGGGAACCGTCCTCTGGCAGACTTACCAAAAGAGGAAGGATAAGAATACTGCAGCAGAGAGCTAAACTATATGCCTTCACAGGAGGTCCCCAACAACCACATACTCTATAACTGCCACTCATTCCTGAAATCTCTTTCCCACTCAATATTCCCAAACCCCACTCCCCAACTTAGAATGGCATCCTATCTTCAAATATGAATCTACTCCTCACCGCTCCTTTGAAAAGGTCTGAGCTTCTCCTTTGGGTTCATCTGCTCCTGTGGTCCCAGGTCTGGGCTTCTTGCCCTCTCTTTCTTGGGTACACCCCTGGATTGGGGTTCCACTGACTCCTGCCGAACACTTAATAACTCTCGTGATGACTTCAGGGGTGTCATCTTCTCCAAGCGCACTTTCTGCCCCTTCACAGAGACTGTGACCTAGAAACAACTCCCATTAATTGTCACTGCAAGGTCATAATGAGGGGTATTCCCAGAGGAGATTATTTAATACCCCCAAAAAAGACCACCGTCCTTTTGGGACATGGCTAGGGTTGGGGGGGTGGTAAAAGCCAACAAGAGTAATTTGTGTTCCATTACTGTTAGCTTAGAGCAGCTGGAACTCCAGAAGGAAAAGTTCAAAATAGTAAACCCAGACTGAAAAATCAATCCCCTTCCCTATTAAATAAAAACCATGAATCTATGAATAACTCATGATGACAGGGCAGCAAAGATACACCCAGGTAGCATCTCCAGATAAGCTGTATCTGAAAAAGTTACCTGTTCCAGGACCAGAAGTATAAGCATTAAAATGGAGATTGTGCCCTCTTTAAATCTGTCTGTACCTTAATTTGGCACCCTTATCCTTGCCCCTGCCCAGTCACGCACTTCTGAATTCCCCCTCCCTTCTCACCGAATGTCCAGGTCTTCCAGGCTCTCTCTCTAAATCTTCCACCAGAGCCACAGCCTCCTCTCCACTTTCTGGACATTGCTCCTGTACCCACTTCTGGATCTCCCCAGGTAAGATGGTCAGGAACTGCTCTAGCACCAACAACTCTACAATCTGCTCCTTGGTGCGAACCTCCGGCCTTAGCCACCGACAGCAAAGTTCCCAGAGTTGGCTGAAAGCCTCCCGGGGCCCAGCTACCTCCTGGTAATGAAATTTCCTGAAGCGCTGTCGGAAGGTCTCAGAGTTAGTGCCATTCCCTCTCAGAGTGGGTTTGGCCATCATTCACAGCAGAAAGCAGCTTCCCTCCACTTAAGGGTCTGGGTTCCAGGGCTTACACCTATCTTCCCATGTCCTTGGAGAATCACCTGCAGATGAGTCTCTCTCTGTAAGAAGAGTTTCCTCCTAGGGTAGAGAGAGATGGCACTATAAGAAGGAATATACTCATATGTCTAAAGTGCCAGAGCTGGCCTGCCTTTCTATATATATGCTCCATGTGGCCATCTGCGGTAGCACCAACTTCAGGATAGCAAGCCAAAACTGAGCATGGAGAGAAAACTTTCAAAAGCTGCATTTCCGGGCGACTTCCCAGGGTAGCCTGGGGAAATAGCAGAGGAAATAGTCTGCTCTTCTTCCTCCTCCCCCCAATTCTGATCCCATTTAGCTCCTCTGACCAATGTTGCATAGTGAGTTCGAACCATATGGGAGCTCAGGATCTAAAGGCAAGTCACCATCCTGCTCAAGGCAACAAAAAGCCTCTGTCCAGCGGTCGCAGCTGATCTCCCCCAGGCTCTCTACGTCCACCCTGCCCCCTTGGACTCCACAACTACCAATTCCCACCCCAGACAAAAATCAAGTACTGAATACTGGGTCTTTGTTTTTCCTCACAGCAGAAGAAACCGCTCGGCAAATATTCGGAAACTACTGACGGAAAACCTCGCGACTGAGAGAAGTTGGTTTTGGCTCCTGAAGCGAGTGCCGGGTGGGCTTGGGGAGAGTTGCACTGAGTTGGTGGAGAACGGGAGTCGGAGGGGGCAGTAGTAATGGGTCTCCTGAGGACGAGTTCGGGTGCTGGCCAGGGGATCCGAGTGCTGCGGGGTTCGCGGGCGCAGAGCTCAGCTCAGGAAGCGGCGGGTGCGGGGTTCCGGCCTCTTTGTCTTAGCTCCCTCCGGCCAGGTCACTATCGGAGTCGTGGTGCAGTCCCCTCCAGAGGCCTCCTACCGGGCTAAGGTGCCTAAGAGCACCTTCCAGCCCACCCCTGGAAGTGTCTCTCTCGGGCTGTCCCTCAACTCTCTCGCCTCTCCGCCCGCGGACCAGCCTCATCCACCCAGGCCTGGCTCTCCAGCCTTCTAGTTCAGCTCCCAAACCGGAAGTCCGAGGGGTGACCGGGCCACCTAGGGCGCATGCGCAAACCCAGCTACGCGGACTCCTACTCCGGCGGAGCCGCGGCGGGAGGGAGCGGGTGGGCCCAGTCTGCGCGGCGTACTTCCGGAACACGGCGCGCCGACCCTTTCCGCGCTTCCCGCCCGCTCCTCCCGCAGCAGTTGTCTCGGCCGGTAAATTCAGGAGGAACCGTCGGTCCCAGGGGCCTGTGCGAGTGTAGAGAAGGGAGCATTGGATTCCGTGGTCCTCTCGAAGGGCGCTGGAGGAAGGAGCGACGTATATAGGGACTCGAGTTTCGCCGAGGGAATGATCCACGAACTGCTCTTGGCTCTGAGCGGGTACCCGGGGTCCATTTTCACCTGGAACAAGCGCAGCGGCCTTCAGGTACTGCCCCCCTCAGAGCGCGGGAACTAGCGAGCGCCGAATGGGTAGACCAGAGCCAGTGCAAGGGGGAGGAGCCTGAGGGACCGAGGGGGCGGGGTCTCAGGGGCCTTGGGGGCGGGAGGCGTGTCCCTGGGCTGGTGACTGGAGGGCAGTGCCCCGGGGGGCCTACTGGTGACGCTGGCCGGGAGGGAGCTGGGCCTAGGCTGGGAAACGTAGGGCAGACCCAGAATGGCCCCGCCTTCAGGGAAGGAGCGGGAGACCCGGCCTAAAGTTGAGGCGTTTGAGCGAGAGTTCCTCGGGAACTGGATGTAAAAGTGAGGGAGGTATTTTCTCCCATTTTCACGCTTGCACTCTGTTTTAAATTGGGTTTTGAAAGCTAGACCGACTACATAACTTTTAACATACAAGGGTTCAGCCAATTTTGTTGAATGAAAAAACGAGTATGTGTGTTTCTGCCATAACTCCCTTCTCAGGAAATTTCAGCACTAGGAGAATTTGGAAGGGGGCCTTGTAACCAGGAATGTATGAGGAAAGGCTATGTACTATATGCATTATCTAATTTAATCTTCATAACCACCCATTTTCAAATCACAGATTAACTCCCTGTGTCATGCAGCTAGTAATTAGCAAGCTTGGTCTTGAACCCAGGTCTGCCTGGCTCCAGTATCTGATCTACTCTTTTCTACTTCTGCTTCCAGTAATGTTATCTAATCCTCTCAATAAATTAGTAACTAGGTATTGTTAGCTCCCGTTGACAAATGAGCAAACTGAAGCTCAGAGAATTTTATGGTGGCTAGTCCTGGTATTATATTAGCAAGATTTGTATATAGCTTTGTCTGATGACAGTAATGCCTATTCATAATAGAATTGGCAGTATAGGATGGGGAAGAGCAGAAAAATAACATTCCTAGTCTATAAAACCTATAAATCAAAGCAATTCCTCTTGTTATTATTTATTTTCCCCTATAAAACTAGCACAATGCCAGGCATATAGGAGGAAAATGTCCAGGTGTATTTGTGGGTGCTTTATGATCTGAAGTAAAAAAAGAGACAACATTATAGGAAAGATAGCTGCCTTCTTTTGTTTCTTATTTCAAAAGTCTCAATCAGATATTTTCCTCCTTAAGGTCTCAGCTTTAAAGTCACCTCCTCAGAAAAACTTTTTCTGACCGTCTCTTTAAGCATCCTCCCTTGATGCCATTATTCTCTATCCCAGGAACTTATTTCCTTTATAGGACTCACCGCAATTCGCATTATTTATTGTTGTTGCTTGTTTCTGGTCTTTCTCTCTCATAGATTGTGCATGGGGGCAAAGACCATAGTGGTCTTCTTCATAGATGTACCAGGAGCATCTGGCACAGTTTCTGGCACAGAGTAGGTGTTCAGATACTTGTGTAAGATAAGGCCACCAAACCCAGCAAATTTTGCATACTTTCTGCAGAAAAGTTTTCACATTTGAATAAAGGGAAAAATTGTCCGAAATGCCCACTGATGATAAAAGTAATTTTATTGTAATGTTGAATATGTATACACGTTGTAACTCAAGCACATTGCTCTCATAAAAAACTTTATAAAGCCAAATATTTTTACAAAATAAACAAAATTACCAAATTTATAAATTGAAATTAACATTGCCATTATTGACATTTTGGACTGGATAATTCTTTGTTCTGGGGGGCTGTCCTTTGCATTGTAGGATGTGTAGCAACACACATGGCCTCTGCTCACTAGAGGCCAGTAATATCTCCTAAGTTGTGACAACCCAAAATACCCCCAGCCATTATCTATTGTCCCTTGGGAGGCAAAATCTCTCCTGATTGAGACCTGCTGATATAATGTGACATATACTGTTGTTTGGCTGAAACCAGGTCACCAACATTGATTTTAATAGTAGAATGACTTTGCTACAGATCTGGCTTTATATTTTTTGTTTTGACCTCAGTAATTCTAATGTAGAGAATGCCTGTTCATATAACTGGGTTGTACCAAGTGGTATCAATAGCTTTGTTTTGGTGGTGTTTGCTCTTTTAGAATAACTAGACCTTCAACTTTTCTAAAACTGTGCCAAAAATCACTGCTAAAAATGCCAATTTTAATGGGAGTATCATTTGATAACTAGGTAGAACTGTCCTAATAATTTAAAAATTGCTTGCATATATAGAGCACTTGCTATGTGCTTAATGCATGTTATTTACATGTAATAACTTATTTAATCCTCACAATTATTATCTCCACTTCATAGATAAAAAAACGAAGGCACAAAATGGTATTGAAATTTGCCTAAGAATTCAAGCAAGTAAGAGGCAACTCAGGGATTCAAACTCAGGCAGTCTGGCTCCAACGACCACATTCTTAAGCACTACATCATGGTGCCTCTAAGTTACTAACTTGAAGATATGGTTAGCATTGTATTAGTAAAATCTGTGTTAAGTGGATTTCTGATTAAACTATTATGGACTCAGTAACAGAAAAATCCTTCTTTGCCTACTTATTACTACAGTTACTATCATATAAAGATTGTATCCACAAAATACAATACTCACAATATGAATATGTTATATGCTAAGTCTCTTGGGAGTAGTAACTATATCTGATTTTGTTCACTATTTAATTTCAGAATGTTAGCAGAGTGCCTGGGACAAGTAGATGTTCATTAAAGGGTGGTTGATTCTCCACAGAAGATATACAGTGACCAATAAACAAATGAAAATATGATCAATATCACTAATTATTAGGGAAATACAAATCAAAAGCACAATGAGATACCAGTTTGTACTCTTTAGAATGGCTATTATAAACAAAAAACAAGCGTTGGTGAGGTTATGGAGAAATTAGGACCCTTATGATTGCTGATGGGAGTGGTAAAATCGTATAGCCCTGTGGGAAATGGTATGGCGACTCAAGAAATTAAACATAGAATTGCCATATGATCCAGCAATTTCACTTCTGAGTATATACTCAAAAGAAGTGAAAGCAGGGACTTGAATAGATATTTGTACACCCATGTTCATAGCAGTATTATTCAGCCAAAAGGTAGAAGCAACTCAGGTGTCCAAGAACAGATAAACAAAATGTGGTATATATACAGTGGAAAAAGGAAAGAAATTCTGACCCAGGCTACAACATGGATGAAATTTGTAGACACTACTAAGTGAACTAAACCAGTCACAAAGAACAAATATTGTATAATTCCACTTATTTGAGGTACTTAGAGTAGTCAAATTCATAGACAGGAAATTCATTTTGGGGAGATGAAAATGTTCTGGAGATGGATGGTGGTGATGGTTGCACAACATTGTGAATGCACTTAATGCCAGGAACTGCACACTTAAAAATGGCTAAAATAGCCCTAGCCAGCTTGGCCCAGTGGTTAGAGTGATGGCCTCCGGACTGAAGGGTTTCAGGCTCGATGTGTCTCTCTCACATCCATGTTTCTCTCTCTACCTTTCCCCCTCTCCCCCACTCCTTCCCTCTCTCTCCCTCCCCCCCTTCCACTCTCTCAGAAAAGCAAAAAAGCAATGGAAAAAATATCCTCAGGAGAGGATTTTTTAAAAAGGCTAAAACAGTAAATTTATGTATATTTTGCCACAATTTTTTTTTAAAAAGTTGGTTGAATGAATACATTCTCCCACTGCTTTTTTCTACTTGAATTCCTATGTAACCTTTATATAGCATCCTAGGCTATCATTTAAATTAAAAATACAAATAAAAATATGGATACTAAATGTATATGTCCAGTTGTAAAGTGCTTTTACAGATTATGGTATGCTACATTTATTTACATTTTTATTTAAATGAAAACATGATTTAAAATTTCATAGAAAATTTATAAATCTTAAGAATATGTTTGAGAAACCCCTGGAGTTTGTTAAAGACTTCACTAAAGACAATTTTGTTGCAACCAGGTAAAAAACTCCATACCTTTAAAGACCATCCCTGAAATATTGTATCAGAAACAGTAAGTTTCTTATAGTAAGTAGCTACCTCTGAGGGGAGGTTGATTTATTTTTAATGTACACCATTTTGTATTGTGTGAATTCTTTACCATGTGTTACCACTTATTTCAATAAAGAACTAATTAGGTCAAGGGTGGAGAACACTTTTGTAATGGTTTGGAAATACTTTTGTTATCAGGAGCTTACCAAACTTAAATGGGCATCATGAGAAGGGAGCATTTGAAGTACTTCTAAGACCAGCATGCAGTGAATCACAGGCATAAGTGTCTTCAGCCTGCTTCCTCTCCTGCAGGTGTCACAGGACTTCCCTTTTCTCCATCCCAGTGAAACGAGTGTCCTGAATCGACTCTGCCGGCTGGGCACAGACTATATTCGTTTCACGGAGTTCATTGAACAGTACACAGGCCATGTGCAGCAACAGGTAGGTTTCTGTTCTCAGGGAATGTACACCTCCAGAGGGCGGGAGCTATGTCAAGCTTTCAGTGAATCCACTGGTGTCTCGTGAAATAAGTCAAAAGAAGTTATGAATATCTCATCGCTAGAATCATTCAAGTGAAGGCCAGGAAACTGTACCTCACACAAGGGGAAAATATACACAGGGACTAATTAGACAGATTGGTGTAAGAGAAAATATGTTTTGCCTGAGTTTTAAAAGACCTGAATTAAATTATTTTGAGCTGGACCAGAGTTCCAATTCCAGAGGTGAAAACATAAAGCATTATTTCAAATTCCTTTGCCACTCTACTTCTATCTTAGTCACATTGAGGCAAGCAAATAGAATCTTTGATCTTCATTTTTTAAATTTGTAAATAAAAGTAAAACCAAAAAAGGTGCTTGGCACATATAGTAAGCATGTAATAAATATTACCCATTATTATGAATTAATTGGCAGTAGTATGTAGAGTTCAGCGATTTATATCCTGCTTCATCACTCACTGGCCATAGACTGCTCAGAAGTAACCTAATGCTCAGTAACTAAGGCTCAGTTTCCTTATCTATAAAATAGGGATAATAGATAGTACCTATCTCTTAGGGTTGAGGGTTAAACTAGGTAATTCATGGGAAATACGTGGTATATAGTAAGCACTCAAATTTTTTGAAAGAAAAAAATTTTTTAAATTTATCTTTATTGTTGAGAGTATTACAGGTGTCCCATTTTTCCCCTCCACTTCGCTCCCACCCCCTCCCCAGGCCTTCACCCTGTTATTAACTGTGTCCATGGGTTATGCATATTTGNCTCCCCAGGCCTTCACCTCATTATTAACTGTGTCCATGGGTTATGCATATTTGCATATAACTTCTTTGGTTAATCTCTTCCCACCCTCCACCCCCTTCCCTCTTTCCTCTGAAATATGATGTCTGTTGCATGCGGCAGTGTCTCTGGATCTATTTAGCTTGTGAGATTCTTTTGTTCATTAGCTTCTTCTTAAAGAAGACTCTTCAACTTTTCCTGTAGTGCTGGTCTGGTACTGATGAACTCCTTTAGCTTT